TTCACATACCCCCTTATACTATTACTTGAAACTCTGATTCTACACTTAATCTTGCAAGTACAATTTGTTTCTTACATTGTCAAGTAACCAGGTTACTCTTAAGGAATGTACAATAACTTGAAGTAGATTTTATGTCGACCACTGACCTTGTATAATTTGCACTCGTATAAGTTTCTAAGAGCAACCTGTTACTCTTTCTGAATAAGATCTCTTTCCTAGGTGACCCTTTTAGGTAATGCAACATTTTATAGACTACCTATAAATGCATTTTTTTAGCACTGTGTATAAACTAATTTAGAAGACTCACTTCATAAAAGATGTCAGATCTTGTGTTAGACAAATATATCAATCTTCCAACCAATCTTTGATACATCTTTTGTTATAATAATGTCATAACATATACTAGGAGCACTATAACTCCTATGTCTATGAGTGCGTAATGAACAAAATGTGGTTTCTCTGAGCCTGCTTATATCCCAAGTCTATCATAACCCTTGCAAATCTGCCAAACTCATGCTTTAGGCCATTGCTTGAGTCCATAGAATGCTTTCTTCATATTATAAACTTTATTTGCTCTTGCTTCTATGACAAATATGGTGGAATCTTCATGTAGATTTTTTCTTCTTGATCTCCATGCAGGAAGATATTTTTCACATTAAATTATGTAGTTGTCAATCAAAATGGTTAGCTAAAGGCAATGTAAATCTGTGTTCATCTTGGCTACTAGAGCGAATGTTTCTTGATAATTTATCCCATAAGGCTATGTATAGCTTATTGTCACAATCTTACTTTATACCTCTTGATTGTCCGATATGCCTTATATTTGATTGTGAATAGCCACTTGCATTTTGCAGGTTTTTTCCTTTGGATAGGTCCACTATTTTCCATGTCTAGTTTTTCTCTAGTGCCTACGTTTCTACATTCATAATATATTTCTATTTCTCACATAACAAAGCTTTAGATACAATGTAAGAAATAGATTAAGTGTTCAAACTTGTAAGAAAATTTTTATGGGACTATTAACACTTACCAAATAGTACAAAATGTAAAATATGATTAAAAGGGCATTTAGTGTATTTTCTGGTATCTTTATGAAGTGTAATAGGTACATCATTATTAGACTATGTGGAGTTTTCAAGACTTACCTTAGTTTCAGAACTAAGGTTGGATGCTTGGATCGACTTAGGTTCATAACTCATTCTTCCTTCTTGTATATACCTAAGTAAATATGGGGTCATGTGTAGTTTCTTGAGTGGATAAATTCTTTGGTGGGTTTTGTGGATTTTCTTGTGGTGGTGATGTTGATGGTGTTTGAGTATGTGACAAGGATGGTAGAGTAAAGTCAATCAAGAAATCTGTATTCTCATATCCTAACATAGGCTTCTTATGAAGATAAAGTTGGATAAAATATAATTTTTTTGAACAAAGAGGACAGTGACAGATACATAAAAATTTTGTGTAGGCGGATCGGAACACTTGTATCTTTTTTAAGAAGAGGAGTACCTAGAAACACACATTTCAAGGCGCTGGGATCAAGTTTCCCCATTTGATGGAATTAAATGAAGGAAGACTATACATCTAAATATCCGAGGGATTAGATGGTTTATAACATTTAGTAAAACTTGGAGGGTGCTTCAAGAGGTTTCCCGGCTACTGTGGTGGCTGTTGCAGCAGGGAGGCAGATCGGGTGGCAAGGTTGGTGGTCACCACTGCAGGGAACAGCAGCTGATGACGTGCTGCAGGGACTGGCCGCGGTTGTCTGCTTGTGGTGCAGGTCTAGCCACGTGGAGAAGACGTGGTGGAGGTTTGATATGCCTGTGGACAGATGTTGGTGGGTGGTGCGACAACTAGGAATAGCGCCAGAGCCAGCTGGACACTGCACGTAAAAATGCTGGATGTGCGGCTGGACAGAGATGAGCGCAGCTGAAGGCGGGGCTGGGAGATTCTGGCACCAACAACGAAGACTGATCTTGGAGCTAGCGGCTGGATGGTGGTGCATGCAATAGAGGTTGGTCCCTTAGTGTTTTGTGTCTTATTTCAGCAATTGAGGCTAATCGGGTTTGTGAAGGAGGCCTAGGGTTTTTCATAGAGCTCTAATACTGTGTTAAGAATAGTTGAACGTCTATTTTATTGGATATTACAGTTTTATATATAAAAGTTTTATAAATAGAAAAAAGAACAAATTATTAATTATATAGAATGTACCTTTAACCTAATTTACATACATACCCTCTTTTTACATATATTTATTCGTATACAAAGAACTTTGTTAACATATATGTAATAGATGCCGGCAGTACTCGAACCAAGCGGCTGAATGTGCCACACAGAGACAAAACCGCTAGGAACAGAAACTAAACAGCAAAATAAATTTTGTTAAAGTTAATTATTATTATTTTTTTTTGAAATCGAAGTATGAAGTTGTATTGAAATAAATGTGCCAAGGGACACCGCCCATTTACAAAAAATTTACAAATTGATTAGACAATCGACTATAGAGTCGAGATCATCAAAGCATTTAATATTATGTTCTAAAATAATGGATCCGAAGTAATGGAACCAGTTGTCAGTATTGATTTTGAAGTCGACTTCTTTTCTTTCAAAAGCACAATTGTTTCTTTCCTTCCAAATGACCCAAAATATAGTAAGACGGACGAGTCTAAAAGTTTTCTTGTGACAACTCAATCCTTCCCATGCAAGTAACTCATCCAAAATTAATTTATGTTTGATCCAAGATAGTCCCATGAGGCCAAGAATAGTAGACCAAAGATTGTGAGAGACCAGACATCCTAAGAGTAGGCAATTACATGTTTCAGTGCTGTTTTTGCAGAGAAAACATCTATTAACAATTGTAAAGTCTCTTTTCATTAAGAATGCGGCCCTTTGCTGCTTTCCATGCAAAAAAAAAATTCTTTGAGTGACACCCGATTTCCAAATAATATTAATAGAAAATTTCGTTTGTTCTTGTGGAATATTGTCGACCAAAGTCTTATACAGGAACTTAACTGAGAAATTACCAGAAGTGGTGAGTTTGTCATTGTTGTCAGTTAAGTGGATGTGAGACAGAGTTTAGAGCAAATGTTCATATTTCTCAATTTCCCAATCTTGCAAGTGTTTAGACACTATCCCCTGCCATAGATTCAATTTGACAACATTTTTTACTAACATGTCTTTGTATCTAGCAATCGCATAAATCATTGAAAATCTTGATTGGAATGCTTCTCTGTTGTGCAAAATATCTTTTCAGAAACGGATTTTGGTGCCATTGCTGATGCTCCACTTAGAATTATGAAGAATAAGGTTGTTTAGATTCCAAATACCTCTCTATAGGATAGAACCATAGCTGCTGTATTTTATTTTAAAACTATTATTGCAGTCACCATTGAACTATTTACTCATAATGATTGATTTCCAAACTTTGTTGTTGTCATTCTAGAATCTCCATATGCATATTCCTGAGTAGAGCTTTATTCAGTTTGTCAGTTGATCTCAGACCCAGTCTACATTTTTTGAGTGGTTTCTTGATTTCTTTCCAATTCACAAGATTAATTTTTTGTTGTTGTTGTCACAATCACCCAAAAGGAAATTGCATTGTATGACCTCTAGTTTGTTGGCAACACTGCTGGGAATATTAAGTACAAATAAGGGGTAGATGAGAAAGTTTGAGAGTGTGCTTTTGATGAGTGTAAATCTGCTTCCCTTGGATAAGAACCTCCTCTTCCAGTTTGTAAGACGATTGTGAAATATGTTAATTATTGAGTCCCAACAACTTTTATCTTTGAATTTAGCACCAAGAGGAGCACTAAGATAAGTAATGGGGAGATGAGATAATTTATAGCCTAAAGAACGGGTAAGTATATTACCCAAGGAGATGCCCAAAACCACTAACTCAGATTTGTGTAGGTTTATTTTCAATCTTGATACTGCCTAGAAGTAGAGTAAGACACATCGTAGGAAGATTAAAGAGCTGATATCAGGTTGACAGAAAATGAGTGTGTCATCAACAAAAAATAGATGGGTAATCTCTATTTGATTCTCTTGTTGGCCAACAATGATACCTTTTAATAGCTGCAATTCTTTGGCTTTTTCCAATAATTTATTTAAAACCTCCATAATGATAATGAAAATGGAGGAAAAAGGGAATCACATTGTCTTAAACCTCTAGAAGCAGGGAAAAAATTTGATGGACCGCCATTTACCATGACCGCAAAACTAGATGTAGAAATGTGTGTTCTAATCCAACCTCTCCATTTTTGTACCAAAACCAAGTCTCTCCAGCATGTTGTCAATAAAGTCCCAATTGTCGTGATCAAAAGCTTTCTCCATATCCAATTTACATAATGCTCCTTTTTGATTATTCTTGATGGCTTCATCCACTACTTCATTGGCAATAAGAATAGCATCTGTAATCTGTCTACCTAAAACAAAAACATTTTGTGATTCCCCAATAACTTTATGTAAAACAGTAGCGAGTCTTTTAACTAACACTTTTGATACAAGTTTGTATATGCAGCTGATAAGATTAATAGGTCGGAAGTCTTTGATGTTTAGGTAATTTAGGTATCATGACAAGAAAAGTAGAGTTAAGAGATCTTATAAACGAGTCATGATTATGAAAATCGTTGAAGAAATCGATAATGTCGCATTTGACAACATCTCAAAGGATTTATTGAAGTTAATTATAAAAATTTAAAGAATATTAATTTTCAAAATTAATCTGAGTCTAATACATTTATATTAATACAAAAGATTTGTTTCATTTGCGGAAAATTAAAAATCACATAAAAGAATACAAGGAGTGTTTTAGTAATCATGCACTGTGGTTTGTGCTGTTCATTGATTGCTAAATATTTAAGAGAACAAATTTATTCTATATAGTTCTATATCTACCAAATACATCACTATATTTACCTTCTCCAGTATATTATTCTTTTTAGTTATATTACTATATTTAGTTCATTTACTAAATGATACCATTGTTTTTGGACAATGAAGTGGATTGATCTAAGGAGATATGCGATGCCTGTTTTATTGTTTTTATCTTTTCATCGTTGCATCCATCTTCGTTTCTCTTCTTGTGTCATTAAATTGATATTTTCATTTGATAGATGGTGTCTAGTTGATTGATTTGCCGATTGAGTATATGAAAACTTTGCAGAATCACCTGTAATTCCACTACTTTCTTTATTTGCAGCAGGGCGTACTTAGGTATACTCTTTTGTTGTTATGCAGGGCCCGCTTTCATCAACCTTCCCGATTGAGAATCGGAACACTGATGTGACGATGAAAGCACTCAGGAATCACCTAGAACGGACAAGGAGTCTTCCATTTGTGAAGAGAATCTCCGATTTTCATTTGCTGCTCTTTTTGTCTCGGTTTCTTGACATAAGCTCCGACGTTCCTGCACTGGCAGAGTGCGCTCAAACGCAGTGTGCTGTACCAGAAGGTTATCAGCTTCTAATCGAGTCCATGGCCAATAGTTTTTGACGTTGCCTCTATGCTCTGCGTTGCACAACAAACAAGCTTAAATTTAAGTGACAATTTGGAGGAGATCAAACTATTCGGAACCCGGCGGAGATGGCTTTCTTCCTGATGCAAGGAATGATCCTTGCAGAGGGCACTGAGCTCAATGGGTTAGAGGTTACAAAGAGTTGCAATGTGGATGTGGAAGAGGTTTTAAAGTTTATGCTATACCTTGGTTCAATTACAAAATTGATTAGTTTGTCTAATCTCAATGTTTCTCTGAATTAATGTGCTTATAAATCTATATCTTAGTTTTGTTCAAATCATACAACAATACTTGTTTATATTTTATATATAAATTTGTGTGTGTGTGTGTGTATATATATATATATATATGTGTAGTAGTCTTATTAGTTGGAAAACTTGATTGTAACATAAAAAAAATAACTAATTTATACTAATTAGAATGTTTAAAATAATTACATTATATTTTCACTATTTTCTTTTTAAAATTTGTAAATTGAATTTTAATTAATTATTTTGCTAATATTTTTTTAATAATAATAATAAATTTATTAAATTATTACTATTTTTTTTATATTAACCAACGTAAAAAAAAATTTAAATTAAATTTTTAAATAATAAAATTTATTATAAATAAATAAAGATGAATTTATTAGACTAGGAACATGTTGTCTTTTAATATTACTATGAAAAACATTTCGGAATTAAATTTTTTGATAACAAAATTTGTGCTAAACTTTTGTTATTGAAAGTTAATTTAAAAGAAATTATCGAAAATTCATTCAACGAGCACGAAACCGGATTAGTAAGAACTCGGTGTATAAAAGTATGAACTACTTACTCTATTAAAAATTCAAAAAATATAAACACAATACATAAACTGTATAAGGTAAATAAAATTATTTAAACTGAACGAAAATGAAAATTATATATATATATTTTTTAAAATTTTAATTCTTAGGATGAAAAGATAATATCACCAAAACGGCAAAACCCCAATGTAAAGATTCGAGAGTATAAAAGTCGGAGACTTGAGTTGATAATTCCAGTTGCTAGAAAGTTCGAAAATTCATTTGGTTCTTGGCGGGATATTTCTCTTCCCTAAAAATTATTGGCCAAATCAAGATTGTGCTGCCTCTCTACTCCGTCATTTCGATCTCTGCTCTCTAATCGCACAAACCCTAGGCCAATCAGGAGGCTGATCATGAGTCTCCCCGCTGTGAGTCTCATTTCTCTCCTTCTCTCTCTCTCTCTCTCTCTCTGTTTCTGCACTTTTTTTTTGCTCAAGTACGTGTAGATGTAATCGGTTGTAATCGGTTGAGATGTAATTGTTGGTGAATTTTGTTGCGGTGCAGAAACGTGGTAGGGAGGATGTTCAGATTGGAGGAGGAGGAAACGACGATAACGGAAGCGGTGCGGAGTTCCATAAGAGGACTAGCACCGAGGATGGCCCCACCGAAGTCGAACGTGAGGCTTCACCTGACGATTTTGAAGACAGTCGCCCTAAGCGGAGTCGTACCACCGGAGGAACTTCTTCCGAACCCGCTCTGAGCTTGATAGGTAAAGTTATGTTCACGTTTCCGATGAGAAATTATTCTTTGCAAACTCGACTTATCTGAGTATACATTTTCTGATACTAATTGAAATTTCCCTGGTTTAAGCTGATGCTGGTCACTGATCTCGTCGTTTGGTTCTATGAGCTTTGTGTAAATTAGCTGGTTTATTTCGCGGACAATTTTATTAGGTTTTTTTGGTGGTAGAAGAATTTATTTCTGTTATGCAAAAGTGAATTAGATATTTCTTTCTGGGGAAAGAGTACCTCCTATGCAAGGTAATGATTACTGCATTATTTTGTTCCTGATGTGTGTATGAACTAATTTGGGCTAGTGGTTAGCCATTTTCATTCATTCTTGTGTTTATTTATCTATTCATGATATGAATTCATGGGATATGAGTTTTAATTACAGCTTATCCTTGAATCAGAATTGTTAATTGGATTCTGCAAATAAGTTAGGTTTTGATATATTTGGAGAGCATATTTAGTATATTAACATAATACGTGGCAGTGAGACAGCCATAGCGGTAAAAAACAGTGAAATGTTAGTTATCTAAGAAGCTTAGTTGGCGCCAATTATTTATGTTTAGCATACTATGAACATCGTATATGAAATCTTTTAGTATGATAATACATCAGATATTGTGAAGAAACAGTTATTGTGAATCTTTTCATTGAAAGCTTCTAGTTGTTGCATCTAGAGGCTAGAAGAACTGTCATTTTTGGATCTTGTTGATGTAGTTTGGTGAAGCTTCTTTAGATTTTTCTTTGTGGAAGCGTGCTCTTCGAACAAGTACTGTTATTATTTTACTTATTTCACCTCTATTATTCAGTGTGTCTTTAGATGGTTATAATTTTCTTGGCTAAATTTTGTGCAGAGGTTGTCAGAGGAAATGGAAAGATTATCCCTCAAGCTGTCAAGCTTTGGGTTGAAAGATATGAAAGGAATCCAAAACCAGCAATGGTTGACCTCTTAATGATGTTGTTTGAGGTAACCTGCAAGTTTTTGGTGTGCACAATCAAACCATGGATGAGGACAAGGCCATGGAGAAGTGCATGCTGAAATTGGATTCTCATTAAATATTATTCTTCTTGGAAAAAAATCTTTTGCATTGTAATCTGCACAGTTTAGTAATTGAATTTTGATCAACAATATTCCATTCGTGTAGGCATGTGGACCTAAATACTATGTAAGTGAAGACTTTGTGGATATGATTGATGTTGATGACGTGGTGGTTGCTCTTGTCAATCTTGCTAGAAGGGTATATTGCTGTGTTACAGTTTGCCATTCATTTATAACATTTAATTGCCCTTTCAAAGTATTTTCAATAGTAAATAATTTAAAATTGTGGACCAGGATTTGGTGCCAGTATTATTTTGCTTTCTTTATTGTATTTGAAATGCAGGGGGAAGTTGAAGAAAGTACAAAAAAGAAGGAAATCAAGAACTTCAGGGGAAATCTTGTTTCATTCTGGGACAATCTGGTTATTGAATGTCAGAATGGACCATTGTTTGACACAGTTTTGTTTGAAAAGTGCATGGACTATATAATTGCATTATCATGGTAGCATTCAAATTTTTTTTTTTCAAAGTCATTATAGCTAAGTTTATAAGATGATTTTTCTTGCTTACGTTTATTATGTTATTAACATGTAGCACTCCTCCAAGAGTTTATCGTCAAGTTGCTTCATTAATGGGTCTCCAACTTGTTACATCCTTTATATCTGTTGCAAAAATGCTTGGCTCACAGCGAGAAACCACTCAGAGACAATTGAATACTGAAATGAAGAAACGATCTGATGGGCCTCGTGTGGAGTCACTAAACAAAAGGCTTTCAATGACTCATGATAAAATAACCGCATTGGAGGACATGATGCGCAAAATTTTCACAGGGTAGGGATTTTTTAGTTAATACCATTGATGAGACTAACCCATCCTTTCCATGAATAGGAAGAAAATGTCTGAGTTGATCGTCTTTGTCATACCAACATATTTGTACATTATCTCTTTTTTTCCTAGTAAGGAGTTGATGATAGTACTCGAACTCGACTTATTAGTTCCATTAAAAGAATATCATGTTATATAAGCGTAAGGTACCAAGGGTAAGTTAGGAAATAGGTAATTAATATGTAGGCAAAAGGAAATTCACACATAGGGATAAATTAGTCATTTTGAGTGTACGGATTAGGGTTGACCGAATCAACCAAGGAAGATCACGTTAGATCCCTTCACCATCATTGCTACCGCAACATCCGGACGGTTTCTGGCCGCTTTTGTCACTCTTCTTTTTATCATTTTTAGCCTATAAATAGGTGCTTCTTCTACGAATGTAATCATAAAAAAACTATTGGAATCAAAGTATATTTTCTCTTTGCTTTCTCTCTCCTTTTTAATTTTTCTTCCATACCTGAATCAAGTATCAGGTTCGTGACAATGAGGTAGAAGCTATTGGTCATATGATTCTCACTTTAATACTAACTTCTTTTAGCTGTTTCTTTTTGCAGGTTATTTGTGCATCGGTATCGGGATATTGATCCCAATATTCGAATGTCATGCATCCAGTCACTTGGTTCTTGGATTTTGTCATACCCTT